TGTTTAGTGATCCATCAATAAGCTTAAAAATTCATTTTGTCATCCAAGTCGAACACTATCACATAGTGAGCGCACATTTCTCTTCTTCTTTTTTCTTTAGATAATTATTTTCTCAATTCTTTTTTTATTTTTATTTTTGTCAATTCATATTTAGAAGCAAAGGATATATCGTTGATCTCTTTTCATTCTTGTTCTTTCACTGATATTTGACAAGTGATAGAATTTTCTTTTGCTTGTCTTTCTTTTCATATGTATACAATCTGAGAATTCTCTAAGACCATTGAAAAGAAAATGTACTCCCTATTAATCTTTGCACGATTTCAATATTGAAAATTCTTTTTCGTAGTCCACATGACCTTATCTTCAAGTCAACTATTATTTTCATAATCTGATCTGATCGAAATGAAGTCTGACTCTAATTATCACTATTCAATCATCAATCAGACTGTCTAATCAATTCTAACAAACTGTTACAAAAGTTTCCTATGGGATCTTCTCTTGATAAAAAACTGTTAACTATTGAACAACGATATAGGAAAGATATAACAGACACTTACTTTTTCCGGCATCGAAAACTTGCAATATAAAAAACAAAATGAACTAACACTCTTCAGTACAACCGAGCACGATTCATACGAAAAGACTTGAATGCGAAGATTGAAATTGATCTATTATGTCTATTGATTCCTTCGTTCTAAAACGGCAGAGTCTGTTGATTATCTTCAATTCTAATTGACCATCATAGGTTAAATAACTGTGTAGACTGCACTTGAAACTTTAAGTTTGATATCAATGTTAAAATGAAACGTTAAATCTAAAGAATATTTCTCTTTTCACCCTTGTATTGTCCTTATTAAGTAGTAAATCTTAATGATTGATAGTCGGATCTGAATTCTATTGAGCTGTTTATTAATGTAATCAGTAAATATTAACATAAATTAATTTAAAAAGTACCATTTTTTGCTAATGAAACAATTAAGCTTAGCTCGTGTCGACTATTATAACTCTTCCTCAGTTCTAAAAGTCTATAGCACATCGAATATGAGAGATCAAAACAAAAAAAAGATATACTTCAAACCTGAGCTTCCTGTAAAAACGCTATAGCTAAGTAGTACACACCGTCTCTACAGATTTTGTCGTATAGATTAGGACGTACAGAAAACGACGTATAGATTTGGACGGATGGATTAGCGTTTATAGATTGGAACGTACCGCGAAGGAAATCCACATAGTAAATGATAATTTTATTTTTAATTTAGCTGCATATAGTATTTCCCTCGGAATGGATCTCTTGCTTTTTCATCAGCGTTTCCCGAAGAAATGATAAAACGGATTATATGCAATGATCGTGATTGTTTCTACCGAAGATTTGTTGCAGAAAAAGAAGATTCTATAAATCTTTTATCAATGCAGAAAATTGATGAATGGAAAGAAGATTCAATCAAGAAAATTAAACAAATCGCTGAAAACTGTAGACAAATATTAACTGAATATAAAAATAAGTATTTTGAAATAGAAAAAAAATTATTTGAATTAACTGAACAATTAAAACAAAGTAACGAAGAAACTGAATTTAATGAAAATGATTTACATCGATTCAAAACAAAATTAACAGAACTACTGGAAGAATTTGGTCCGCCACCAAACATTAGAATTCAACAAGATTCGAAATCATTTATAAACGAAATCTCAATTGTCATTTCATCTGGAATTCTAGAAGAAAATAAATTAAATCGCATTGATCCAAGTCAATTTGAAATAAAATAAACAGAAAGGCTTGATCATTTTCAAACTATTTTCAATTCAAAAGATTATAAATCCTTTATGAATCAGGATTCTATGATTATATTATCTGGTAGGTGTCGTAATGACATGGAGTTTTTACAGATTGATATTCAAAGACTGATTGGTTAGTTATATTTTGTCAGAGAGAAAAATTCATCAATGTTGTAATACTTTTATCAGAATTATTCTCCATACGAGGTTTTTGCGAAATAGTTTTATCAAATCTATAATATGATTCCACATCTGTCATAACGAAAATAATACATGGAACATGTCGAATTCTCTTAGTTCAGAAAAACTTCTAGATCTCGGAATTCACACATTTATCAAAAATAATCAGGTACATTCGATGGATGTAAAGAATCGAGGGCGCTCTCAAAGTTCAACAATTCCAAGAAATCAAAAGAATTATCCCAACTTAAGATACTTTGGAAATTAAGTCGCTTAATAATTACTTAAAAGTCAAAACATCGTAGGAACACAGAGAGCATAAGGTACACCTAAAAATAAACCATAGATACTACTAATTTCGTATAGCCAAAAGTGGAATAGCTCGAAATACTTCTGTATTAAATATCAATAACTTGAATTAGTTAGTTATGAACGAAACATGTTTCGAGTATTCTGTAGACGAACATGATAGATCTAGAAACGAACAAATATTCACACAACTCTGTGTCTATCTACACTCTAGACTAAAATGTGTCGCATGTGTCATCCTTTGTGACACACTGAAGTGCGCTGCATGGTACTTGTTGCGATACGTTTTTAAAACATGATCCGAATCCAGTCTTCAGAAAGAGTATCATTTTTCTCTAGAAAGGAATAATTACTACTTTTCCAGTTTCAGACAAGTTGGCGATACAAAGATCATTAAGATTCAGGAAAATAGACAGAAAGACGTGTGAGAATCTAGTAATGCAGGTAAAGTTATTCGTCAAAATTCGGAAAGGTCTGCAAAAACTGTAGAATATTTCAACATAATCCGAGAAAAACCAACAATATTCGATCTGATTCGCGGAAATACCATTAGGGCATGCTGAATTCTATCGAGTATTATTTCTTTCAGAAGTTTCCTTCTTTCTTTGTTGTAGTTTTTATGCAGAATATTCCCGCAGATGCCAGATGGACACAGAAAGCGGTGACTATTGCTGGAGGCCGTGGACGAGGTGATGCACTTAATCAGCTCGATTCTCCTTGTGGTCGCTTTGTGGATGGTGATCAAACGGTTTATATCGCTGACACAAACAATCACCGTATCGCGGAATGGAGAGCTGGTGCCAAAAATGGTCAAGTAGTAGCCGGTAGCAACGGACCAGGATATCGGTTGGATCAGTTAAATCAACCAACAGATGTACTCATAGACAAAGAGACTGATTGTTTAATTATTTATGACAATGGGAACCAACGAGTGATGGGATGGTCTCGTCGAAGTGGAGAAACTATCATCGAGAATATCGAATGGGAGAGACGAATGGAACAGTTGTGGCCGGTGGAAATGGACCAGGTTTTCATCTCAATCAATTGAGTCGACCAACTTACGTCTTTATCGATCGAAGTAATTCAGTCTACGTTTCGGACTGGTACAATCATCGTGTGATGAAGTGGGTAAAGGATGCAAAAGAAGGGATTGTCGTGATTGATTGTCGAGGTAAAGGCAAGTCTATGACGGAATTATCGTATCGTAGAGTAGTGTTTGTCGATAAATTGAACACAGTCTATATGGCAGATTATGCGCATTGCCGAACGATGTGTTGGTGCAGTGGAGCGACACAGGCATATGTGATTGCTGGTGGAAAGGGTCTGGGACGACAAACAGACCAGTTAAACGGTCCTAAAGGTTTGTCATTGGGTCGACATGAAAATCTGTTCTTTCTACAAAGGCTGCTGCTTCTTTTGCACCTCTCGCTTCTCCCTTTTTGTTAGTATCTGCTGTCCGATGTTCATATATATTTATAGATGCGCGCTCACACAATTAGGGATCGTCGCTGTTCGTGGAAAGACGGCCATGTAGCTATGAACAAACTAGACAGACTCACGAGATGAACTTTAGAGTGTGTCTGCAGAGTTCGGGTGAATATGAGCAGACGATCGATAGAGCTGAACGGGAGTATGGTAGAAACTCAATCAATTTAAATACAATTTGTTTCACAATGGTTTAATGACTTTTGTTTTTCGTAGCATTCTTTTCTATCATAAATATTATGCATTACAAAAGTGCTACGTATAACCATAACGATACTCATTCAGAAAGGAAGATCACATGGAAAAATATCTTACCGTCAAAAAACAAGTATACACTGTAAACTAGAAAATAAGTTATAGAGTTTACTCAAGGATATTCTAGGAATGCCCATATGAAATCACCGAGGAATTTTCAAGTTTTCGAAAATAAGATATTTCAAACATTAAGAATAAGAAATTTGATTTTCTAATTAGAAAATCCCAAATGAATTCATATGGGCATTCCTGGAATTTCGGATTCTATTTATCAGTTCGAGTATTTTTTAAAAACTGGAAAATCGAATTTTATTTTCACATATGAACGTAAAATTCGTATAATAATATAAAAAAATAATTTTAATTCAAATTAAAATAAAACTATAAATAATTGACTTATATAAATGCGCCAAGTAACATGAATAATAAATTTGAATTTAAATAATATTATAACCTTGTGATTCATAAAAATGCATCAACTAAAATGGATCGTTAATTTAAAATTTAAATTTAAATAATATTTTATACATTTGATTCATATAAATACATCAAATAATATGAATAAATATAATCTAAATTTAAATTGAATTGTATTATAATAAACATTTAATTTATAGGAACGCATCAAATAACATGAACAATTAATTTAAATTTGAATTTAAATAATATTATAGACATCTGATTCATAAAAATGCACTAAATAAAAAATAAATAATTTTAATTTAAATGCATAATAAGTGCATTGACTTACCATGCAACTTTAGAAAACAAGTTATCATCTAACTAGTCAGTTCCTGGAGAATACAAATGAATGAATAGCACTGTTGGACGGCTTATATACGTGAATGAACAATGACTCGATATTGATCATTGTTCAAACAATGTTTTCCAAATCGGTATTGACTTTCGAGGTTTTTTAAAATCAAGGTTGATATTTTACTCTATCGAAAATCAAATTGAATCTTTGTAAATTGGAAAATGAAGCATTTTCGAGGTGCTGTAAATTTGTTAAATGAACCATAAAATTTCAAAAATGCTTCAGCTTATTCAAGATCGATTTTCGAAAAAATAGAATTTAAAAAAAATTTACAGTGTATAATCTGGTTTCTATTCTTTTCGAAACTTGACATTTTGGGATTTTTTTCTGTTGCTTTTTAATGCTCAGAACTCTTCTTTTTTGTTTGTTGACTTCCATTTCTGCACATGGAAAGATACCCAATTCTGTGGTGATGAACATTGCGAAATGGATAGCTGAAGTTTTAGTATCTTGATAATCACTATTCACCTGCAACCTAGATGCTAATTAATCAACTCCAGAGAATTCTGGAACCGTCATCATCCTTAACCTAAAATGTGGACAGAAGCACAAACTATATTACGCGAAACTTTGCGGAAGACAATATCTTTTCATCTAATGTTGTGATGAACTGACTTCAGAACTATATAATGTCGCCATCCTCGTGCATCTGTTAGCTTCATATGTATAGAACGAAAGAGACAAGCAGTGTCACTGATGTTATGTGACAGAACGATGAAAAAGATGACCTTGGTGGGGATCGAACCCACGCTTCCTGCTATCCGGTCAGTTGTCCTAAGCCAATTAGACTAGAAGGCGCATCTTAATAATCGTTTAGCGTCTGGAACTCTCTGAATCGGGTCAACCTAGCATTGCCTTGCATATTTCATGATTCCTCGAGATCTCTGAATTACGGAAACTCGATGACATAATTAAACTCGTTAAGAGTATCCGATTGTTGGGGTTTCACATAGTTTTTTAGAATCTAAAGAATAGACTCTCCGGATATGTTGATTCCTGAAATATTCAGCATTGCATAAAGCAATTACTGCTTCTAAGAATACATTGAATCTTTTCCGCTTAATACTTAGCAACCGAATAGTGTTTGTTGTTAATTGGCTTCAAAATACTCTATTTTGAGGATGTTATATCTAAAAACTGCTCACCAAGAGGCTCAGGCCTGCCTGTGGATCGTACCAGAAGTGCTGGACCTCTCTTCTTAAGTCGTGAGTATTTTATCGAACTTTTTGCTAACCATACACTATTATGGAAAAATCACAAGAAGAAATTTGCGCTTGTGAATTTCTTCAAATAAAGATCTGGTAGGTCTCATTTTATTGTAAAATTTTTCACTTCAACCAATGACTCTTCTCCGAAATATTGCATTTGTGTAAACCATTGCTTTCTCTCTAAAGCTCCGTAAGAACTATGGAATCTATTTTAGAGGAAATTTTCAAGCGAAAATTTCTATCGAGATTTTTACATAGTACCTAGTGATAGACTGAAAACTCAATAAAACAGTGATAACTCGAGTGAAACGGTCCAATGTCACTAACTCGTGTAGAGTTTTAATCTACAGTAAGGATCCTATCCGTCACACTTCTTGAGCTCTTAACTATGATAATCTATTCGATATTTCTTCTAAATGAGTTTTGATTGACTCTTAATTCATGCCTACCAATGGACGTGCAGTGTTACCCTTTATCTGATGATTAAAATATAATTCGATATTTAGGGCACATGTGTGGTTGCGTCTTGATATGTTATTAAGAACAGCAGATCTACTGCCAAATACATACGTTGTCAGCAAGAACTTACAGTTTCAGCTTCAGATAATTGGTAACATATTATTATAGTAAAGGGTATAGATTGAACGATCCAATAAACACGATAGATACAAGAGATTAACTAGGGAAAAGCTTCCTCAGCAACTATCAACCATATATATAAACTCACTATATTGAAC